GGACGCACCATCACTGCCTTACATTGAATAGATAAACATGTGGAATACAAGATGAAAAAGATCTTTAATTTTAAGCAAAAAAGATATAAGTTGGATTATTCTATTCATTAGTATGCCTATGATATGAATGAGCATATATGGAAACTAGCAAAAAAATTAATTAATGCACTACAAAAAAGTGTAGGAGTTTCATCAATACTATCTTCAAAAACCTAAACCTATTTTAGGATGACTTCTTTATGAAGCTACTAATAGGATGTATATAACAAAGAAAAGAGATATGAAACCAATTCTCCTTGTAGAACTCGGAATTAAAAGGAGATGTGATCTTATAGACATCTAATAAGAAGATTATAAGAATATTTTTAGAATATTTTAATAAATTCTAAAAAAATTCTAAAAAGATTAAAGAAATTATTTTAAAAGCTTCTTAAGAATGCTTCATCTTTAAGCAACATATAAACTTCTTGTAAAGCTTTCTAAGGTACTTTCATCTTCAAGCAGTATATAAACTTTTTGAAAAAGCTTCCTAAGGTTGCCTTATCTTCAAGCAATATGGCAACTTTTTTATTGAAACTCTTTTATTCAACTTCTTGTTTGGTGTCTCATTTAGTATATTTGTGATAGAAGATGTATAAAAGCAATGAATGAAAAATTAGATTCAATACAAAAAATTGAAACATCAAATTTGATAATCTTATTACAAGAAAAACTCTTAATAATCTTAAAAAATGTTTTAAAAATCAAAATGGTTGTTGACGGTTGTATAAAAAAACTCAAGTAAGACTTGTTGCAAGAGGCTTAGAGCAAAACAAAGGAATTGATTACCAAGACACTTTTGCTTCACTTGTTAGATGGCCCATAATTAGATTTGTAATAACAATTGTAATACAAAGAAGATGAAACATCAAGTATCTTAATGTTAAGGTTGCCTTCATGAATGGCAATCTTAAAAAAATTGTTTACATAGAGCTACTTCAAGAGTTAGTTCTATTAAAGGCAAATAAAAATAAGGTATATTTATTGAAAAAGGTAATGTGTGATTTAGAACAAGCAAGCAGAGAATAGTATATTAAGATACATTCTTTTTTAATAGACTTTAGTATGTTTAAAAATAAAGCAGATTATAATCTTTATACAAAAGAAAATTCAACATTAGTATTTTTGATTTACGTTAGTGATATACTAATAGCAAGAAATCACCTTCAAAAATAGAATTGTTAGAACAAGAATCAAAAAATGTTTTGAAATATCAAAACTAGAGATATTGACATTCTACTTAGGAATTGAATTTATATGCATCACAATAAAAATGATACTTGTTCAAAAAAGACACTCACACAATCTACTAAAAAGATTTAATATATTAGATTGTACAATACTCACAGTACAAATGGAAAGAGATAGGAGACTATATTTGAATATGGATGTAGAATATATTAATACAATAGACTATCAAAGTCTTGTAAGAAGCCTCATTTACCTCACATATAGAAGACTTGATTTTTTATATGTACTCAGATGCTTGAAAAAATTCATGTCGACACTACAATGTGAACACCTTCAAATGGCAAAAAAAAGTCATTCTTTACATCATAAGTACAATTAGTTATAGTATTTTCTTTCTAAAGAACTCAAGTGACAAACTTATAACTTATATGGATTTAGATTGGAATAAAGACTTAGATAAAAAAAATCAAAAATAGGAATGTTTTTTTAATTGAAGAAAACATAATTATATTGGAGTAGCAAATTGTAACCAACAGTGGCACTTTCTACCATTGAAGCAAAATACCAAATGCTATCATTTGATGCACAAGAAGTAATGTAGATTAGAATACTAATGAACAAATTGGAAGATGGCATTAAAGATGTAACAATCCTATATAATGATAATTAGAGCACTATCAAACTAGTCAAAAATCTAATATTATGTGCAAGGACTAAGCATATAGAACTATAATATTAATATATTTGCAAACAAGTAGAAGAAAATAAAATCTAAGTATCATATATACATACTAATAAATAATAAGTAGACATTTTTAAAAAATCTTTAGAAATAATATTTTTTTAGCAAATACAATACAAAATAAAAATTTATAATTTTGAATAACTTTCAAAAAAAATATTCTACCAATAAATATCTTCTTCAAGAAAATTGCTATTGATGTTCAAATAACAACTTATCATCATCTTTCTATTATTCTTCTTACCTCTAAATTTTATCTTTCTACTTATATTAGTATCATACATATGTAAATTCAGATCTTTATGCAAGAGGAACTTGAATTGTTCCATTTCTATCCTAAATTGAGGAACTAAAGAAATAAGGCAAATCAAAGCTAGCTTGTAATTATGACAATAGTCTTTGTAATTGAGCTTAAGTAAGATGATGACCAGCCACTCTAATAACTTTTCACCAATGAAGCTCCATGCCCTAGAGACTTGTTACAATTGAAAGAGAAGAAATGGATTCTTCATTGCTAATAAACAAGATCATGTGCACTACCATACAAGGTTATCTAGAAAGACAAGGATTACAATCTCTAAGTCTACTTTTGGAAGAAGGACCACTATCTGGCTCATGTGGCTTGCCTTGTTTAAATAAGTTACAAATCCATTATGGTATTTGTCTTCAAACTATTTGTAAACTACATTGTAGTAACGATCTAAAAATGTATAGAAGAATGACAACAATAAGCTTGTTTTAGGTAAAAAAAATTAAAAAATTAAAAAAACAAAGATAGTTCACTACTATTAATAATTATAGCTAAGACATTGTTAACTTCATTTAAATTAAAACATAAATATAAATTTTATGATAGAATTATTAGCATCTTTGAAAAATTGACAAAAAATAATAAATATTCTATAAAAGACTATCAACTAACTAATATATTCATAGGAAGGATAGACTAATAATTTGAATGTCTAATTATTAAACTATGATGCTACTATATTATTATGAGTGTGAATTTGTATTATACCCTTGAAAGTAAATGGTTGATTTTCAACCAAATTTGCTTTATAGAAGTTTTTAATGAGGACTTTATAGACTTGTACTACATCAACTATTATTATATTCATCTTCTTATAACACTTCTTATTTATCTTTGAATGTTCATAATTATTTTTTATTTTATTTATTTTTATTTTATACGAATTTAGTTTTATTTTTCAATTTAATAGAAAATATTTCTTCAACTTCAAGATTTTTCTTTTGCAATTATCTAATTTTTTTTAGCAATGATTCAAGTACACAAACACATGTCTTTTTCTTGTAATTCTTCTAATTTCTTATTTGGATGTCTTTATAAATTTTTTCTATTCTTTTTTGGCAATTCTAAGTCAAATTTATTATATCCAAAAAGCCACAAATTATATAGATATAAGAATGATGTTTCAATATTAAAAATATTTTAAAGCAGCAAATTGATTCTTTTTTTAAAAAATGAACTATTTTTATGTCACAATTCCAAATACTCTCTTCATTGTTATTTAAGTGCTTGAATGAAAGAAGTTGTAGTAGACTTTATTTTAAGCATTTATTTCTTTTTTCTTTGAATAGTGAATAAAAATATAGCATTATAAGATAAGAAATATCACAAATAAATTTGAAAAGTAAAATTAATCTTTTTATGAACTTAATTTTATATTTAGATATTTAAATAATCTATTACAAAGCTTAAAACTTTAGAAATCATCTATTTTATTTGAAGTTTTTTTATAGAGCATTATTCCTTTATTTTTTTTAATTTTTTTTTGATTATTGAATATGCAAAGATTTGGTATGTGGAATATATAATATCATGAAACATTTTATGTATATATTTTACCACAAATTATAGTAAATTATATTTATAGAATATATTTTAGTTTTTATATATAATATTTCTTATTCAAGAGTTTTGTTAGAATGTGATTGTATAGTGTTATCTTTTTTTTGTGTGGTTGAAAAATGGTCTTTGGCTAATAAATTTGAAATTTATTTTTAAAGTTTTATGTATTTTTAAAATTCAAAATTATTTATAATTTTCAACTATTAGATAAAAATAAATTGTAAAAATAAAAATTATATAATATATAAAATTTAAAAATATATTATATTATATT